TCACTCTTTGAGTGCCAGCCAGAACTGCTGTTTGGGAGGGGCATTGTTCTCCTCCGGAAGAACGGTTCACCAGTACTTGCGTCTTCAGTTTATTTGTATCCAATTCTTTTGATTCTTCATCACTCAATGTCAGGAGCTCCGAGGCAATCCCAGTAAAAACGCATTCTCCGGTGCCCGTGCACTGCGCCTCAGCAACGGCAAACACATCACCATTCATCTCAACAAGACTGGGAACACGGAGCGAACTCACTGTTTCTCCCTTCTTATCTCTCCAATCAAACAATTTCCCCTTTGAAGATCCTGAAGCTGGCGACGTGTCCTGACTGGATGCAGCTCCACTGCAGCAGCACATCATCACAACGGCGAGGAGCAGCACCGCAGAATAGAAGGGATGCCGGGACATGTTGGGCCTCTGCGGCTCACTCTCTCTTCCTTCCCTCCTCCTTCCGCTGGATCCGGTCACGCGGCGACGGTTGTGTGTGCGGGGTGCCTTCACTGCAGCAACACGTGAGAGCATATAAATATGTGTGTGTGGGCGGTGTGTGTGTGTGCTGTTGGTCCTTCTAGAGCCTTACAATTTCACAGTAGCAATTAGCGCTTGTTTGCTTTCCTTCTTCGTGTGTGATTGAAAGGGTGGAGAGAAAAGATGCCAAGAAAGGGGTGAAACAGTAAACACCGCCACCCATCCACAGTGAGTGGCACCATCATCCCCGCCTCAGTCACTCCCAACAAAAACAACTCACGCACACAGACACAAAGAACAGCAGAAGCAGTAGAAATGCACCGGGAACACACAGCGGCTGTTGCCACTACAAGCAGGAGTCACGGAGGATGCATTATTCATCACGCGTGAGCACACACCAAGCAACACCGACAAAACAACGGGACGCAAAAGGGTGCAGCCGCCCTTCGCACCACCAACGCGCTGCCACCAGTCGTTTTACTGCTTGTCCCTTCCAGCGCGCCCTCCAACGCACATCACCCCGCACAGCCAAAGAATATCGGCAAATCCACAGCGGGATAAACACGTCGACACGCGCAGCTCCATGGCGAGAAACAATCCGCACTCGCCCACGGCACCCTCAACACCACCCACCGGCTGCACGCCGCAAACATCACACCCTCCACACGTCGACGAAAGAATTCTCGGGCTGACAACCTCCCTCCTAGCAGGGACGCCGCAGCAAGAACCTTTTAT